TGCTCTCATGACCTTCCAAGAATTCACCCAGAAACCATGAAGGGGGCTACTAGTATTAGAAGCTAATTGAAATTTTGCAGTCTAATTTAGGGAATAAAAAATCTGCCCCTCAGTTATGATAAAATTGCATTGAAGTAATCCATGGGGGAAATGATTGGGTCCCTGTTCCATCTGGCAGAGTTTATCTGACCATGACCTTATTTTCATTGTTGAATGTTAAGTTTTTGTATGTCAGATACTTTAAGCAGGTCAGTTTTATTGGTGTATGGAATGATTTAATGGTGTCTGGCAGTTTTGTTTGACTTTGACCTAATGTATATGGTTCAGAAATCAGCGTTATGTTTTCATGGTAAAGTTCTTTTCTTAGAAACTATAAGCATTTGGTTAGCTAAATGTGGAGATGGAATGATTGCAAGGCATATAATTCTGTCTGGAAGAATTTTGTTAAGGATTTGATTGTAAGGCGTACATGTTTGTCTGACAGGGTTTATCTGACCTTTACCTCATTTTAATTAAGTCTCCCAAACGAAGTTTGGGAAGACTTATTGTTTTTGCTCAGTTATTATTATTATTATTATTATTCTTCTTCCTCTTCCGCCGCTTTTAAATTTGAACTTGTCCGCACCCGTTCTCCAAAACCACTTGTCAGATTAACTTAGGGTTTCACAATATGTTAGACTAACATGTCTAGTGGTGCAATCAGGGTTTTGTTTGTGCAATGGGGTTTATAAAGGGGTACTTTGAGGGGCAAAAAGAAAAGAGAGTTTTACTAAAGAACCCTATGGGATTTTATTTTTTTAAATTTTCAAATGATTATAAATTGAAAACCGTTTGTGATAGACACAATCTTTTTAATTGAAAATGTTCTAAATGATAAAGCCCATTAAATGAAATACAGGGTAAGTCCCCAGAGGTCACCCACACCCCCTGCCATTTAAGAAAGTTCTAATACCTTGTAAGTGGTCAAGATCCCCACCCCTAAACCATATATATTTTGGTTTGTCATGCTAAGATGGTTTGAATGATATACAGGGTTAGTCCCCAGGGGTCATCCCAACCCCCTGCCATTTGAGAAAGTTCTAATATGTTGTAAATGGTCCAGATCCCCACCCCTAAACCATATATATTCTGGTTTTTCATGATAAAGCACATCAAATGAAATACAGGGTTAGTCCCCAGGGGTCATCCCAACCCCCTGCCATTTGAGAAAGTTCTAATATCTTGTAAGTGGTCAAGATCCCCACCCCTAAACCATATATATTCTGGTTTGTCATGCTAAGATGGTTTGAATGATATACAGGGTTAGTCCCCAGGGGTCATCTTGACCCCCTGCCATTTGAGAAAGTTCTAATATCTTGTAAATGGTCGAGATCCCCACCCCTAAACCATATATATTCTGGTTTGTCATGATAAAGCACATAAAATGAAATACAGGGTTAGTCCCCAGGGGTCACCCCCACCCCCTGCCATTTAAGAAAGTTCTAATATCTTGTAAGTGGTCAAGATCCCCACCCCTAAACCATATATATTCTGGTTTGTCATGCGAAGATGGTTTGAATGATATACAGGATTAGTCCCCAGGGGTCATCCCGACCCCCTGCCAATTGAGAAAGTTCTAATATCTTGTAAATGGTTGAGATCCCCACCCCTAAACCATATATATTCCTATTTGTCATGTCTGTAACATTTGAATGACGTATACGGTCAGTCCCCAGGGATTCCCCCCACCCCCAATGTTCTAGTATCTTGTAAATGGTCGAGATCCCCACCCCTAAACCATATATATTCTGGTTTGTCATGCCAAGATGATTTGAATGATATACAAGGTTAGTCCCCAGGCATCACTAATGCATATAACTTTACTGGACCAAACCAATATTCACTGCATGTTGCCCAATGTCAGGTGACCCTGGCAATTACGAATTATGGGAGCTTCTTTTGGGAGACTTCGTAACAGCATCCTGTTACAATCATTTCTTGTTGATTATTGATATTAATGTTAATTTTAGGTAATCATGGTAATTCTTGTATACATTTTTCTATAAGACTCTTTAACATAAAGTCTATCATGAACAGTTAAGCAGGCAAGACATTTCAGCATATGCATTATTTTTGATTCATCCATGCTGGATCTATGCGATCACTCTGGTTTTGGAGATGGTGAAGAATACTAAGTTGAAGACATATGATGAAACTAATTATGTGTTTTTATGACTTGCAGAAACTTTCTACACCATTTTAATCATAAACTGCCAACTTTTGACATGTTATTTTCTCTTAAATTACGAAAAGATTGGTCGAACAACCCTTTTCTTTTAGATGTACACTTGCATATAGTTCCTTTGTAAATCAAAATTTATAATAATTTACTATTTATGAATTAATTTGAAAAAGTATTTGTACATCAATTGAATCAGTTAGTAAGAATTTTGAAAGTATTATATTAGTATCTTATGCTTCTTTAAGTTATTGTTCAATGAAATTTGGGTCAAGATGTGTATTAATATATCTAAGTTGATTCCCACTCTTTTTTGAAATGGTATTACTCTAATTCTTTCCATAGTCAATATGATTATCAACTGTCATGATTTTCAAATAATTACACTCAAAGGTGTAAGTATTAATTAGAAACAACCCCAGTCTTAATTCACCACAGTTAATATCTCATGACCTGTTACATAATTAAATAGACACAATTTATTACACACCTCACTGAATACACACACTCTTGACCTCAATAGTAAACCTACAAATGTATTATTTATTTTGATCTACGCTACATTAAAATATTCTGTTAATTTTGCTAGCTAGCTGAATGATTAATCAGATTTGTTTTTTTTCAAAGAAAAGACAAAAAATGAAAAAATAGGTATAAAAAATGCAAGCAAATTTTATTTCACTTGTAAAATCAGTGTCATTATCATCTGACATAAGTCAATAATCAAGTTCTAATTAATTAGTTACAATTATCAGAAATTTGGTTGAAACAATAAACAAAATTGCATTACTCTTACCTGAGCATTTTCTGCAATAAAATTTATTTGTTTTGTTCTACATTTATATCCCATTATATTGCTATTTAATAGTAATTGGAAATATATCAGCATTAGGTATTTGTACATTTAAATTTGAATACAGGACATGTATTTTTTCTTAATGAAGAATGAACACCAATTTAGATAAAAAATAGTTATTGTTTTTTTTAATTTTTGTTGTTGAGAAAGTGCATTTCCAAGGCCTCTTTCAGGAAATTATTAAGCCAGTTATTATTATAGGCATCTGAGACTACTATAACACAGTGTTATAGTAGTCTCAGTAGGCATATAAAAAATATATTACTGGTTTGACAATTTCCCTTTCCATTCTTGTCAATACCATTAAGTTGCAAATATTTATAAAAAAAAAATCTTGATATAGTCTAAAATTGAAATATCAATATATATATATATATATCAATATTTGCATCAATATTGTGAAATTCCCTACCTTTGGACAAACATAGAAATTTTACAGTAAGATTGGAAATGGAAAGAAAAAAAAAAATATTTAAAAAAGTATGGTCAGAAAGAATATCAGACTACCGGTAGCTATGAATATGGCTGGATCACAACATCGATGATGCTTTGATTTTAATTTTTGGTTTGCTGTTTTGTTAATAAATACCTTGTATCTCTTTTTCTTCTGTTTTTTTTTGGGGGCAAATGGTCATTAAGGCCAGCTATCGTTTATTCTGTTAACAACAAATACTGTAATGTTTGTTGTACATGATATTTCTTCCATTTGGAACTTTTATAATAAAGGGACTTCTATTTTGTTACAATTCCAGCTGTTTAAGTGCATAGATTTGTTTATTGTTCATACAATGCTTTTCAAACTTTAAAATGTTGTTATTGATGAAAAAATGGAGGTCAAAATTTACGATGATCATTTTTTTGCTATTCAGGAGATATGGTCCTTGATTCATTGGAAAATTATTGAAGTTTATCTGGTTTCTGTGAAACTTTAGAACCTTTTAATTATGTATAAAGTAATGGTTAATGAACAATTAAGACAATTTAAAAGCAGTGTAAGGGAGGTAATCCAAATTTCAAATCATATAACCAATTGTAAGTTCTTTGACAACTGTTATTCTGTGTCAGAAACCTTTCATGTGTCAAATATTCAATTACAATCCAAATTCAGAAATGTATCAAGCGCGAATATTGCGTCCATTTTTGCCCCAACTGTCAGGGTTGGACCTCTGCGGTCGTATCCAGCTGCGCTCGGCGAAGCAATTTATTACCTTTGCAGTTATGATCCTTGATGAATTGATAAATGGTGCTGTATTGGTTTAACAATGACACTAATAAATGCAATAAATACATGCTTTACTATATACTTGACAGCCTCTTGTATGAATATTTAGTTTATATTACCTGTATCAAAATAAGAAAAAAAATAAAAATGCAGAAAACTGAAAAGATGGAAAAGGGTAATTTATTTTGTGCAATTTGCCAGCTTTTATTTAAGATGTTTGTGCAACATGTGCAACTTACCAGCTTTCATTTAAGGTGTTTTTGTGCAACTTACCAGCTTTATTTAAGGTTTTTTTGTGCAACTTACCAGCTTTTATTTAAGGTGCTTATGTGCTTCTTACCAGCTTTTATTTAAGGTGTTTTTGTGCAACTTACCAGCTTTTATTTAATGTGTATTTTGTGCAGAAAGGACATTCATTATTTGTTGTGTTTCTGATTTTCAAATCAGATGTATCAAACATCATTAAGATATGAACATAGATATAATTTTACAGTAATTTTGGAGTAATGTCTTTCAACGTAATCTGTAAATAAATCTGCATACGACTCTCTTTTATTACCTTCAATTATATGTACTGTTTAAACAAGTTTTGTAAAAAAAAAAAGGCTCAGTAATGTAACATTCCAAACATAGATCACATATGTCGAGCCTTGAAAATAAAATAAAATTAATTCTTTAATTTCTTATTTCTTATATTTAATTAGGAACAGAAATTTCTTCAGAACTGCCACAAATATATTGGAAGCACAGAAAACAAGACTTCTCTGAGGTCATTATTTTATCCTGCTCTTCAAGAAGGTAAAAATAAGTTTAAAAAAACATGTAGTTTTGATTGGGAAGAAGATTAAAAGAATATGCACATTTAAAGTGTCTTTAATTTTAGTGATTATGAAAAAATAAAGAAGAAATTCTGATTACTGTGATTATGCAAGATGCAAGTATGAGGGTCTTGATGGGGGTCCTTTATTTCTTTATCCTCTAATTTTTTTGGTCATTTTTCTCTATTCATTATTTATTTTGCCCATCATTCCCATTATTATCTGTATCTTTTATATTTTAGCACCCCATTATTTTCAGACCTTAATTATGTTTGCTTATTTTTCTCTGTTCTTTATTTGTTTGCCCTTTATTCTGTACTTTTTGCACATTTTGTATTCTTTGTATCTCATCCAGACCCTCATGTAATAACTGGTGTTGGGAGTGTGACACACTCCTAGCAGGTGCATTACATTTGTGCACATTTGGGGATTTATTTTATTTACTATTGTGCATAATTTTTTTTTTTACATTTGGGCATTTTCGTTTTTCAAGGTAAAACAATTGTAACGATAATTCATAATAAATATATATATGTTGAAAAGTTTGGGGTATTTAACAAAATGTGTTTAAAATTTTTCATATTGGGGTAATAAATCCTTTTCGTTTGATCAATTTAATATCAAATAATTGTAAGAAATCCTGTAAGAGCTTAAGGCATACTGAAAAGTGAACAGTAATTTTTTTCCAGAGAATACTGAATGCTGAACACTTGAAAATAGATAAATTATGTTAATTTTGACCGTTACGCCAAAACATATTAAGCATTTTTGTTGAGAGAAAGAGAGACATAGGGATCCTGGATTCCGTCATTGGCATTAACATGTTGGTTCAGTCTATGGTTAAAAATTTTTTTAGACATCAATAACTTTGTCAAACTTGAATGGAATTTAAGGAAATTTGGACAGAAGCTTGTTTATGACCAAAATACAGTATCCAGAGCAAAATTTTGAAAAAAAGTATTTTCATTTTCCTGTATTTTACTGATAAATGGACTTACCGGTATTTTTTTTATTTTACAGTTAACATTCAGAATTAGTCTGAGGTTAAAGTTATTCAGTCATCAATAACTTTGTTAAACCTTCAATAAATTTTACGAAATTTGGACAGAAGCTTGTTTTATGACCAAAATACAGTATCTAGAGCAAAATTTTGAAAAAAAATATTTTTATTTTCCCATATTTTATTGATTAATGGACTTAGTATTTTTTACAGTTAGCATTAAAAATTAGTCTGAGGTTAAGTTTTTCAGTCATCAATAACTTTGTCAAACATTCATGGAATTTTAGGAAATTTGGACAGAAGCTTAGTTAAGACCAAAATGCAGTATTCAGATCAAAAATTTAAAATTATTTATTTTCTTTTCCTGTATTTAACTGACAGTTTTTTTACATTTAACAAATAGATACAGTCTAGGTTTAAAGTTTATTACAAATCAATTCTTTTAACAAACCTTCATAGAATTTTATGCAACTTTGGCAGAAGTTTTTTATGATTAATTGATAATGTCTGAAGGTGTAATACCACCGTTGATTTCCCCTATTAAGTCTTTGTTAAATTTGCACTTTTCAAAAATTGTGCAGAGTTTATCTTTGTTTCAAAAAAAGAAATACCTGGCATGAGTAAAGTTTTATCCTGTCTAGTACTATAGATGAAATTTTAGAAAAATCTAGTATAATGTAAGACAACATCTACAGCGATTCGAGCAGAATTTCTATGAAAAATCCAAATCAAGCCGCATCATGATAGAATATAGTGTGGACCAATAAATGATCAAATATTTATCTCATCTGCATACAAATAGTGGAATATGATACAAAAGATGACTCTAGAATGATATATACCACTAATGGACCTATTTGTCTTTATTATAAGGTCCCTTTTGGTCCATTTATACCTCTAATTTCCTCAAAATTTCAACTTTTTAGGCCAATAAATAAAAAAATTGGGGTAACTTTCACTCATTTAAGAAAGAAATGTAAAAGCTTCCCTTTTAGTGAATAATTTGTTGTTACTGCTAAAAAAATTATTTCATTTACTTATAACTATATATTTATTATAGTACTACTTAGGAAAAAGTTTTCTATTATAGCAAAATATAAGAAATAAGGAGAAGAAGTCAGAAAAAGCTCCCCAAAACACTGAGTATGGCTTGCTCTGTCTTCTAATATTCATGGTAGAGTCCTATTTCAAGACAATTTTCAATTTTCTCATAAAATGTGTTTTTGAGACTCAATCCACTCAGAATATTTCATTTTTGTAATATTTCCCTTAAATAGCATGAAATTTTAACAAATGAGAGTACACACAAGGTCAAATGTGCATGAGCAGCTTCTCGTATTAGGTGCAATACCGCCATTGATTTTCCCCTGTTAGTCTTTGTAAAATTTGCACTTTTAAAAAAATTGTGCAGAATTTATCTTTGTTTCAAATAAAGAAATACTTGGCATGAGTAAAGTTTTATCCTGTCCATGCAGTACTATAGACAAAATTTCACATAATATTCATTGCATATAAGAAAATAACCATCATTCAAAGTTAACCAATCAAAATTGCACCCCTTTTTTTCCAGTGTACAAGCTTTAGTAACCATGTAACCTCAAGTTCCCAAAATATTCTATAGAAACACCAAATAAAAAAAATAATGGTGCTTTGAAACATCCAATATATATGTTTATGACTCAGAAATTTTTTACCCCAATGAAGTGTAGGATTAATTTCCTACAACTGTCAAATTCAAGGAAATATTTCTTTTCAACCCTTTTTCGTATGCAACTGGATGTGACATACTATGATACATGATTTGGTGGTATTACACCTGAAGCAAACTTTTGAACATATATTTTTTCATTTTCAGTATTTTTCTGATAGATGGACTTAGTTTTTTACAATTAACATTTACAGACAGTCTGGGATTAAACTTTTTTGACATGATAAATTTGTAAACCTTCATGGAATGTTATGAAACTTGGACAGAATCTAATCTTCAAGACCATGAAATAGCATCTAAAGAAAAAGTTTGAATTTTTTTTTAAATTCTGTATTTTACTGATAAATGAACTAACTTTTTAGTCAACATTATGCTTTTACACAGAGACAGCAGCAATCGCAGTAGCTGTGGAACTGTAGCTCTTAGGTCCTTATGTTATTTTTTGACTATTTGCCAAAAAATAACATAAGGACCTAAGAGCTACGGTTCAGCAGCTACAATCGCAGGTGAGACAGGGTTCCGTAGAACCCCATACAAATTTTTGTGTTTCTTGACACTATGTTGGAATTTCGAACAACCACATATCCTAAACTTAGGGCTTGAAACACCAGTAGTTACAGGCAGAAGTGAGAAAGAGGCTTGACATATTCAGCATGTGAATGGTCATGTAAGATCAGAAGTATTTACTCTTGAGATTTCATAGGTTTTAATTGGCATTTTATATTTTATAGAACTAGTTTTATATAAATAAACATAATCTACCTGTATTTACTAGTTAAATGAATGTGTACAAATGTAATAAAAAGTTGGGCTCAATTGTAATGATTTTTATGTGCAAAGTTAATGGTCATGCATGCAGATCTAATGAATCGCTCTTACCAAGAAATGAATGGGGGAGCTCAATTTTCTGACCCTTCACAGTTTTCTGTACATTTCCTGCTGCATCCTTAAATTGTTCCCCTTTCTTTGTCCATTCTCACTTCCTTTTCATTTTTGGCCGGGACATATATAATAATTTTTTGAAGTTTTCAAGAAAAATCTAGGTTTTGAAACATAATTATAAAAAGTAAATGAACATTTAGCATAAACTGCACCTGAAATACATTTCTTAATTCAAGTACATCATGTACATAAATATTCAAGTACACAGTACATATATATTCTAGATTAGAACATACATGAAAATTTAAAATCTTGCCTAGGTTATAATAACTGTATCTTACTGACATGCCAAATGTATGAATAACATATCAATGTTTGCTCCTTCGCCCCTATATCTAAGTACTGTGGATTCATCATTATTAGTTGGATACCAATTCGTGGATTTAGTGGGTCTTTTGAACTATTAGTTAATATGTTCACTGAATTACAAATTCTCCATAGGAAAATATGCAATATTTGGCAAAACCACGAAATCAAATATCCATGATTATGGAAGTTTTCCTCAATCCATGAAAGATGGTACCCACAAAAATATGTTAGTCCATAATTATGTTAAGGGGAGTGCTTCAGTGTAGTTCTTATTTTCATTTTGTTCACAGTGATTAAAGAAGGACAAGTTAGATGTGGTGAACATTCTGATTATGGCAGTTTGACCTTGTTATTCCAAGATCAGATTGGTGGGCTAGAGGTGAGAAGTCATAATTTATTTTTATCTTGTAGTCTTTGAGATCCAAATATTTAAAATTCAATACAGGTCAAAACCTAAACAGGATAATCACTGTTGTAAAATTGATTTTCCATTTTTGTCGAGCCTGTGACTTTTGTGGCAAAAGCGAGACATAGCGATCCTACATTCCGTCGGCGGCGGCCACAAATATTCACCCTATGGTTACGGTTTTTGAAATTTTAATAACTGTCTTAAACTATCCTGCATTTCAACCAAATTTGGACAGAAGCTTGTTTATGATCATAAGATAGTATCCAGAAGAAAATTTAAAAAAAAAAATCCTGTTTTTCCGTATTTTACTCATAAATGGACTTAGTTTTTCTGCCAGTTAACATTACATTCACTCTGTGGTTAAAGTTTTCGAAATTTTAATAACTTTCTTAAACTATCCTAGATTTGTACCAAACTTGGACAGAAGATTGTTTATAATCATAAGATAGTATCCAGAAGAAAATTTTGTAAAAAAAAAATCCTGTTTATCCGTATTTTACTCATATATGGACTAAGTTTTTCTGCCAGTTAACGTTACATTCATTTTGTGGTTAAAGCTTTCAAAATTTTAATAACTTTCTTAAACTATCCTGGATTTGTACCACACTTTGACAGAAGCTTCTTTATGATCAAAAGCTAGTATCTAGTAGGAAATTTTGTAAACATTTATTTTCTGTTTTTCCGTATATTACTTATAGAAATAGTTTTATTCCAGTTAACATTACGTACAGTTAAAGTTTTTAAAACATTTATTAGATTCATAAACCTTCTTGGATTTTTACCAAACTTGAATAGAACTTCTTACAATCAAAAGATAGTATCTAGAGGAAAAATATTTAATAATTTTTTCCCCATTTTTGTTGAGCCTGCGACTAACAGCAAACGTAGGCGAGACACTGGGTTCCGCGGAACCCTTATGAATTTTTGATTCATTTGGATGCACTGGGTGTTTATTATATATTTGCACTAGATTGTGTTTAATACCCAAAGAGTTCTATTAAATCAAATACAAAAAGTATTAAAAATATTCATAAATCCAGTATATAATCAATTATATAGTTATCATCCTGTACACAGTCACAAGGCAAAAGTTATTAGAAAATGTATTTGCAATATCTTTTACATTTTTGCTTCATATTGTGTATCATCGTTAATCCATACCTTTGTTAGTTTGTGAGAAATTAAGAAAATATAAATCTGTTTTCATAAAAAAAGACAAGAAATACAATTCCATTTTAAGGTTAGGAACTGTGAAGACCAATATGTACATGCCACCCCGATACCAGGCACTGTTGTTGTCAATATTGGTGATCTGATGCAAAGATGGACAGCTGATAAATTGAAGGCTACTGTAAGTATTATCATATAAATAATAGGTTGAAATGTTGGTTAAAAATGGATGAGACAGAGTCTGAACAATACATGTTTTATTCTTTTTTTACTCTAATATTTACCCTTTCATTTGTAGCCATGCCCTTAATTTTTGGAAAATGCACAGGTTCAGTTTCAAAGCTTCACATGCAGTCCCCTTTTCTTGTATCATTATATTGTTAAAACTGCAGGTTTAAAATATTGTTTTTGAAAAAATTAGAATTACAAAGAGCAGTAAGAAATCAATGATTTTTGGTTTTTTGTTAACAATTCATTATTACTCAATTACCGTATAGCAGGTTATTTTTGCGGGTGTAAAATTTCGCGATTTTAATTGAATAAGGAATAAAAATTATTTTGGCGGTTATTATTTTGGCGGATTCAAAACTTATATCAATACCATTGCATGTGCACTTTTAAATTGGCGAAATTTATTTTGGCGATTTTCTTCTATCCGCGAAAATAAGTGAAAATTTACACCCCGTGAAAATAACACGCTATACGGTATATAATGAACCTCCCCTTGGTTTTCATAGCAAATATAATTTGTAAAAATCAAGTGTCCTTACCTAGATTTAGATATTTTAGTTTTACACCAGAAAAACTACACAAAAGTTTATGACAAATGGGATGATTTTTCTTTCCCTATTGTTAATTTTCCTTTTTTGAACGGAGATGTTCCTCTGGCACCATCTTACGGTGTTTATATATCCCAACTTCTTCGTTATGCCCGTGTCTGTAGTGACGTTTTGGATCTCTATGAGCGTAATCTATGTATTACTGGTAAATTATTTAGTCAGGGATTTCGTTACCACAAATTACTTTAAACCTTTACTAAATTCTTCCATAGACACAAAGATTTGGTTTGCAAGTTTGGCTGTACCTGTAAAATACTTATTTCAGACGGAATAGCACATCCTTAATTTTTACAGTGATGTTGTTTACCCAGCCCGGAAATTTATATACGATCCTGGTAAACTTATCAATCCTTTAAAAAAAATAATTCTAAAAGGTTACCAATTCAACACTGTAATTAGATCTTTGAATATTGTTTTTATTGGTATAAATATTGATTTTGTCACCAGTAAATCAAAATCATACTAATAGTTTTGTTATACACTTATGCACTTTTAACAGTACTACAATCTGTCGATCCTTTATTTTGGCATTGCACAAGGTCTTGTTTTTCTCTGACTGTTAATGATGTCTTTACACTAAATCCATTGGATGTTGGATGTGTACCAATTGATATTTTAGTCTCAGACATGATTTTTTTATTAGTTATTATTGGATTTGAACTAGCTGTCAGTAACTGCAAGTACTCTCAGATCAGTACTTAGTGTCCTTTTTGTTGTTAGGGATGAGGGATGGATAAATACCCTGCCACGTCCGGTCTGTGTTTATGTTTGATGCCCTGCTTTGTATTGATCTGATCAGTTAAGCCTTTTTTAACTGAATTTTGTCGAGATTGCGACTTCTGTTGCAGAAAGCTGGACATAGGGATAGTGATCCGGCGGCAGCGTTAACTAACGTCTTAAAAGCTTAATATTTCAGAAGGTAGAAGAATTGGATGCTTCATACTTTGTATAAAGATACCTTATGATATGAAGTTTCAGTCTGTCATATGTCCATTGCCCTTGACCTCATTTTCATGATTCAGTGACTACTTGAAAAAAAAAGTTTAGATTTTTTGTAATGTTAATATCACTCTTATTATGAGTAATAGGATAACTATATTTGGTATGTGCGTACCTTGCAAGGTCCTCGTGCCTCTCAGAGAGTTTACACTTGACCTCAACCTCATTCCATGGATCAGTGAACAAGGTTAAGTTTTCATGGTCAAGTCTATATCTCAGATACTATAAGCAATAGGTCTACTATATTTGGTGTATGTAATGATTATGAGGTGTACATGTCCAGCTGAAAGGTGACATTTGACCTTGACTTCATTTTCATGATTCAGTGGTAAAAGTTTAGTTTTGTATTTGGTCTGTTTTTCTAATACTGTATGTAATAGGTGAACTATATTTGGTTTATGGAAATATTTTACAATGAACATGTCCAACTGGCAGGTTTTATTTGACCTTGACCTCATTTTCAAGGTTCATTGCTCAATGTTAAGGTTTTGTGTGTTGGTCTGTTTTGATCTGTTTTTCTAATACTGTATGCAGTAGGTCAACTATAGTTAGTGTATGGAAATATTTTACAATGTATGGAATGATTTTAAGGTGTATATATGTCTGTCTGGCAGGTATCATCTGACCTTCACCTCATTTTCATGGTTCATTGGTCAATGTTCAGTTTTCATGGTTAACTTTGTTTCTTAGATACTATAGGTCATCTATATTTGATGCATTGAATGTTTGTAAGGTGTACATGCCTGTCTGGAAGGGTTCATCTAACCTTGACCTCATTTTCATGGTTCATTGGTCAGTATAGAATTTCCATGATTTGGTCTGTTTCTTTTGTACTAAAAGCAATAGGTCATCTATATTCAGTGTAAAGAATGATTGTATTAAAGGTGTACATGTATATCCGGCTTGGTTTACCTGAACTTGACCTCATTTTTCTTGGATCATAAATGTTAATGTGATACTTGTAGTAAAAAAACTTTATATTTAGGACTATCAACATAAAATCAATGGTCAGTATAGTAGGCGAGACATTTCAGCGTGTGCACTCTTGTTTGTTATAGTTTGTTCTTATGTTGTGCTGTTACACCACTGTCCCAGGTTAGGAGAGGGTTGAGTGCTCACAAACATGTTTAACCCCACCACATTCTTTATGTTTCTGCCCCAAGTCAGGAGCCTGTAGTTCAGAGACTGTCGTTTGTTCATGTCTGTCATATTTGTTTTTCATTAATTGTTTTGTTATAAATTAGGCCATTAGTTTTCTCAATTGAATTGTTTCATATTTTTCATGTCAGGGCCTTTTATAGCAGACTATATGGTATGGGTGGTATGATGAGACCAAATGACGTAAAAGTAAGCAACTGTTGGTCACCATACAACCTTATGTCCATTTCTCAGAAATATGTACTACATGTATAAGCAATAGGTCAACTACATGTGGAGAATGGAATAATTGTAAGGTGTTCATGCCTGTCTGGCAGGGTTCACCTGACCTAGACCTCATTTTCATGGTTCATTGTTTGACATTTAGTTTCATGTTTAGGTCCATTTCTCAGGTACATGTACTATAAGCAATAGTTCAAATATATGTGGTGTATGGAATACTTGTTAGGTGTTCATGTCTGTCTGGCAGGGTTCACCTGACCTTGACCTCATTTTCATAGTTCATTGTTTGACATTAAGTTTTTGTGGTTAGGTTTGTTTATCAAATATTATAAGCAAAAGGTCAACTACGTTTGGTGTATGAAATGATTGTAAGGTGTACATGTCCCACTGGCAGGTTTCATCTGAACTTGAACTGGCCATTTTCATGGATCATTGATAATATTTAATTGATGCCTGTAGTAAAACCATCATGTTAAAGACTTTCAACATAAATTTCAATCATGATCATTAAGGTAGATGGGGTGTCTAAATTATAATCCATAGAATGTTTTAATAATTTGCCAAAATGTAGTTTATATCATGCTCTTTAAAAAAAAATTATAAAAAGAATGGGTCACAGGGCTTATTTTCACGCTACAGGTTGTGCAAAATTGACAGATTTTGTATAGATTATGCATGGAAAACCCAATTTTCTGCCATAAAACGAAAACTACACCATAGAATTTTGAGATAAAATATGAGAAGATAGCTCTAATAGTATGCTTTCGGATAAGAAAAAGAAAAAATGGGGTCACGGGACCCGTTTTCTTGCTACATAATAAAATAGGTAAATTCCTAACACATTCTATTGTAAAAGTAACTTTATCTGAATTATCTGCCCTTACAATTGAGTTGCCTCCCCTTATGTGGCAAAGTTGGAAAAAATAGAATCAAACAAAAGTATTCTGTTTTTCTATAAAATGCAACCATAAATATGATAAAATATGTCACTTTCTCTATTGAAATGAAAATTCTTACACATGAATTACCTACTACTCTCAAAATTTGCACCTTTTATTAAAGATCTAGACCGATTGTTTTCTTGTATGTCAAAATCCAAGATGGAGGAAGACATCCTATCTACCTTAAGCAGGCAAGACATAACAGTGTGTGTAATCTTTTGTTGTTTATAATATTGTAATGAAATAACTTAGAATACTTGATTCAAACTTCCTAAAGGTGTTAAACAGAAATATCAAATTTGGGTAGTTTCCATTTATTCAGGGTGAGGAACTCAACAATTTTAAAAGTAAAATACTCAAAATCAACTTTACTTCTCAGTTACTCTAACAAATATTTTGTAATATACAGTATCTCAGAAATAACCGTTTCTTGTGTATATAGCCAATGAACTTATATACATTGTAGGTGTTGAACAAAAGAACATCCAAAATATTGTCTCATTTAAAACTAATATAAGCTCAAGAAGCAAGATATTTGTTTTGAATATAATTTAGCTGTGTAATATTAAGTGATTGCTCTTAGACCTATAACATGTATAATACTGCCAGAACAGTGATTGAAACATTATGTTTTTCAGTCTGTGCATCTGTTCGTTCGTCTGTTGTACAGTCCGTCCGTTCGTCCGTTTGTCCCACTTCAGGCTAAAGTTTTTGGTCAAGGTAGTTTTTGATGAAGTTGAAGTCCAATCAACTTGAAACTTAGTACACATGTTCCCTATGATATGATCTTTCTAATTTTAATGCCAAATTAGAGTTTTGACCCCAAGTTCATGGTACACTGAACATAGAAAATGATAGCGCGAGTGGGGCATCCATGTACCATGGACACATTCTTGTCTTATCCTGTTTCTAAAATTTATTTTTTCAGAAACATAGAGTTCTAAATCCAAGTAATGAACAACAGAGGAGGCAGAATAGACAATCAATGGCATTTTTTGTTCAGCCAGATGATAAGTTAATTATTGAATGTCTGGATAAATCTAATAAATATGAACCAATCAGTAGCATTGACTACTTAAATTCAAGATTTAAAGTAACATACTGAAATGTACCATAATCCATTATCCATATTATTTATGTGATTTATTCTTATTATCAAACATTTATTTTAATTTGTAACATATATATATATCTACATCACTAGCCTGTCAACACTGATGTTGTGAGTTGGAACCCAGCACATAGTAGGTGCGTTTGACTCTGATCTTAATTGACTAGGATTACCAGTTATCCAGTCGAGGGTCATGGTTCTCTCCGTGAACTCCGGCTTCCTCCACTAATAAAAAGTCACCACATAGCCAAGATTGCTAAAAGAAAAAAAAAATACTATTACAATGTGAAAAATAGACAAACTACTGAGCATATCTATACCTCTACTCTAAGAATGGGGATCATATTGAAATCATCTTTATCTGTCCATCTAGCTTTCATCCATCCATTTGTCCATCAAATATATTTCTCACACTTTTTCTTCAGTTGAAACCTTACAAAATGACTTCCAATTTGTTTCACCAGCTTGACAGTGACTTGTTGTACTAACATTTGAACAGCTTTTAGATATAGTTCCGACATCTACTTCTTATTTGCCATATACTTTGAATTTTTAAACATTTTGAAGGAATTTAATATTTTTCATCACCCATTTCTCAAGTACTAATGAACGGATTATAACTTCATATTTAGTCAGTTGGTTGACAGTGATGAGTTGTAACATGTGAGCGCTTTTCTGGGTCTCAAAACATCTTCTTCCTATTTGCAATCATTTGATTTTTTCTGTATGTTTAATGAACTTAATATTTTCATCAAACCTTTCTCCTCCACTACAGAATGAGTTCTTATCTGGTGTGCAGCTTGACATTGAAAGATACCAAACGGATACTTTAAAGTCATAAGTCGAAAAAGATTTGAAAATAACATGGCAAAAAACGAAAAACGACCAACAGTCTACAAAACACAGGTAATAAGCATATCCTGCTACATATGTGGCGCCTGTGATGTTGTTCGTGTAGGTACACATTTGATGATAAAGCTTTTTCGGTAGGTCACAATTGAGGAAAAGAGGACAGGGTTGTGCTTACAACAATTGAAATATATCTGTCGTCATCTATGAAACATTCCATAACGGTAAACCAAGTTGTGATGGCATCCATAAATTAAGTTTTTGAAGGGATGATTTCAACTTTACTACAAGGAATTCTAGTTTAAAAGCTTCTTTAAAAGCAGCAACTCTATATCAAAGAAAATCATGATAGGAAATGCAAGCTCTGGAATATTGTATCAACTGGGAGATACATACTCCATATGTAAGTCCTGCTGAAATGTTGCTATATAAAAATGAATAGTTCACAAATGAGACGCTGAAATCCTCTGTTTTGTCGTAAAGTTTTGTTCTCAACCGACCCTTATTGTCAATTTCTAGAAGTAAGTCAAGATATGAGGCAGACTTAACTGTATCTGGTGTATCCTTTATTTCAAGTTGGACTGGATAGATGTGTTCAACATAGGTGCTGACTTTGAATTTTTAGTGAGAGAACATCATCTAGGTATACAGTCAGAGATATAACTCTATAGGGTTATTACAGAAAATAACTTGCGTGTGTTATTACAGATACTTTCATGAGTTATCTACTCTTTATTCCTTAAATTTTCTATATCTGTAATAACATATGTTTGTTATTTGTAAAATAAATCAAAAATATTTTAATTTATAGTGGGCTCTAGGGAACTCTTGAGACTTTGCGCAGAAACTAAATGGATAGCCTTGATAACTAATTTTTAAATTAAATTAATACATTTTTGATTAACCATGGTAAATCAATGAGACAAGGCTTTTAAGGGATAAACTTAGCTGTAATAACAAGGCTTACTTATTAAAGGAATGTAACTTATTATATGAGACACTTGGGAATTACTGGGAAGCTTGCGCAGAATCTCATTACATGCTCTGGTCATTATTTCTTACAATAAATTAAAATACATTGTAATTAAGCATGATGTATGTCTCAGCAAATGCTTTGGAGTGATATAGAGAAGCTGTGATAACACCCTTTAGTTATTACAGGCATATTTTTTCTGTAATAACATAGGTATACTATTCAAAATTGTCAAACTATGAACTGTTATATCTTTCTATAGTTAAGTATACATAAAGACAATAGCAATATCAATAGAACTTGCATACATTTTAACTAAACTAATGATGTATATTGTCCCTTTGAAACATGTAACATACATATGTTATCACAGTTCTTTGATTTTTCAGTCTACAATAACAAATGTATGTTATTTTTCTGTAATAACCCTATAGAGTTATATCCCTGACTGGTATAGCGGAATGTGAAGGTATATGTTAAATTAAATGCTAGCTTCTTTTCATTCTTCATAAGAACTTAATTATGAATTCAGCCTCATATGAATAAAGGAATAAGTGGTGAAGATGAGGATCACAGTTAGTTCCGTGCCTACAGGAAAACTGATTGTTAATTGAAATAACAAGTCCTTCAAACTTGGCATTTATGTTGTCGATCCAGAAACCAAGCATCTTGATAATGTCAGTTTCAGAGAATTTATTTTTTTAATTAAAGTGGATATTTAAAAAATACGATGTATCCCTCCCTAAAACAAGATGTTTGCTTCTATGTCAGCTATTCCTTGTTATTGAAAAAAGCAGGATTTTCAATTTTATATTTAGTTTGAAATAGGGAAAACTTCTGTGAAGAGTAAAAATATTCCAAAGTTAAATGTTAAAACAAAATTGCAAGAGGATAGAGACTTAGACTGTATGTACTCTACATGAATAACTGTAAGGGAAGAGTTTAATAGTACATGTACATGTAGTATATAATCCTGTATCTTATTTTGACTAAGTCAAACATTAATAACTGTCTGATCACATGGTCATATTGTCAGCAACTGTGTTATTATTACTTTTATGTTATAAACATATGGACATCTATGCATGCATGGTATATGCACTCACTGTTGTAATCATTTCATTATAAAAAGTCACATTACAAAACATATTGTTGAGTAAAGTGATTAAGGGTCTCATTGTATTATTTCGTATCTTTTATTTGCACTGTACTAATATCAAGTCAATATACTTCTATTACAAGTGTTTGATATTGTTGTTTTTTAATCTATAGAGACAACACAAGATTGTTATAGTGTTTTTTACCCGTCCGTCTATCTGTCAGTCCGTCCGTCCGTTCATCCATCAGTCCTTTTCTTGTCATCGCAACTCCTCTAAAACCACCCAACAGAATTTCATGAAACTTTGTAGATAGATAGAACATAATATGTAGATGTGCATATCAACAGGAAATTATGATTAATTTTTAGGCAGTTAAGCTGCCTTATGCTAACACCCTAGATTTGTGTTCTTCCCACTGAATGGTGTAAAAAGTGCTATTGATATTATCTAGCTAGCTAATATGTTATTAATAACTAATTGGGCACTTTTTTCATACTTTCAATTCAGGAATACAAAAAATATGACCAGAAAAACCTTAAATGATTGTCGAACCACCCAAAATTTTTGAAGTTGCACATAGGAAGCAGTGCTCAATAGAAATCCATACGTAGTTTATTATCCCATGTGCTTTTGGCTAAGATGTCAAAGAACAATTGTATGAAATATTTCATCGCCGAAAATCTCTAATTACAAGTCGTTTACATTTCCCAAATGGCAAACGGCACAGGAAAATTGTTCATGTACACCAAATCTCTATGATAGAGGAAATAAAGTTATACATAGTAGTCTAAGTTCGCGGTAATTTTAACTTACACGAAACGTAAGCTAGTAAGGTCTAGTAAGTATTTTGATGTTATAAAGTAAGTTTTGTTTATCATGATCTTCTTTTCGTTTAAGAAGATTGTGATTAATTAATTAATTTCAATTAAATGTATGCACATTTAAATTCCTTTCTGTTATTAAATTATTCCGTTCATCATTTCAAAGTTGCGCATGCGTGGACCTGAATAGACGATCTTCTTTAGGCTCTTAAAAAAATTTTTTGTGAAAATTGGTATTTACAAACATCGTTACCACCCTAAATCTTGAATATTATTATATATTTACTCAATGTACATAGGTATAATCAATACATAACTAAAATACACCTTTAAAAGCAGATTTCACTTTTTGAAATATATTTTGACAGATACCGCCAAATATCATGTGACCAAATTGTAAACCGGAAGTAAACAAACATCTCATTCAGAAACTTTACTTTGCTGTTTATTAATCAGGCGTTTCATATAACCTGTACTCCTGAGCTGCCCAGGAGGCGAAGATTAACACGTGTACACTCTACTAACAACTGATGTACCCTCTTTCCACACTTCTGATCTCAAGCACAGGTATTTAATCTTAGTAAAGCATTAATTATACGAAAATACGGTGTGCCATACACGATCAACCATGGTACTAAAATACTGTATTATTGTACTACCTGTCTTATTCTCACTATTTAATATTCTTGGTGCTAAGACAATATGCAACATAACACCACATACAAGACCACTTGCTTATAACATATTATTACAAATTCCATCTAATCATTATCCCATCATAAGTGTATTTGCACTCCAGAAAAGTAGTTGGGGCAGGCCAAATTCAGTCCAGATATTGCAAGCATTGAAACCAAAGGCTCCGCAACAAGTGCAGTCATACTTATTCATCCTGCTAATTGCAAATGCCTTTGACACAGAAACAAACCCTGGTCCTAGGTGGCCATGTGGAACATGTCAAAAGGCTGTTACATGGAAACATAAAGCACTTTGTTGTGACAGTTGTGATGTTTGGTATCACATTTATTGTCAAGGAATGTCACCTCAACACTATGGCTGTATGAATGCCAGTAACATCAGCTGGGAATGCATACAATGTGGTATGCCCAACTTCTCAACTAGTCTGTTTAACCACTCGACAATTGAAACATCAAATCTATATGACACATTGAATGATAACTCAGTATTGGGGAGCCCAGGTGCTCCAAAAGCCACATCCTCACCGATACCTAAACAATGTAAAAATAAAAAGAAACAGCGTACTACAAATAAAAACAGAAAACCTATTAGAGTTCTTAACATTAATTTCCAGTCCATTCGAAATAAAAAACCAGAACTTCTACAATTGATAGACTCTGCAAAACCAGATATCATCCTTGGTACTGAAACTTGGCTTGACAAAAACTCATCCTCCTTCGAATACTTCCCAACAGATCTTTATAACATCTATAGAACTGATAGACCACCAAGTAAAAACAACCAAAGCTATGGAGGGGTATTACTTGCAGTCACCAAAGAATTTATCAGCACAGAAATCCAAGAACTAAAAACTGACTGTGAAATCATTTGGGCACAAATAAACATATCGGGTGCAAAAAACCTTCTTGTTGGAAGTTATTATAGACCACCTTCAGATGATGGGAACTCCATAAAACAATTAGACTTATCATTAAGTAGAATAAATCAAACTTCAAACAGTAACATATTAGTAGGTGGCGATTTCAATCTAGGCCACATTGACTGGTCTGTCCCTGAGGTAATACCAGGGAAACCAGATCAAGAACAGCATAATTCACTTTTAGAACTACTATATGATCATAATTTACGGGTCCCGGTAAAGTGAGAAACGGAACAGAAACGAAACAGAGCGAAACGAAACGAAACAGAGCGAAACGAAACGAAACATGGCGAAACGAAGCGAAATACAGCGAAACGAAACGAAACACGACGAAACGAAACGAAACATGTAAATTGAGAAACGAAACACTACGAAACGAAACAAAATCTGTATTTTGAGGAACGACCTATAGAAAATCTTCCTGACGAGATATGTGCATAGCCGAAGACACCGAATATTCCATTCAACTTTGAAAAAATTACTCGTCATTTACATTGGTATCTTCGTGCATTAGTTGCAATTAGTCAACTTGTTTTGTTAAATGTGAGGCTTAGGTGCGTCAGATATGCTACAGACTGTTCTAATATCAAGGCTTCTTGTCACGTGCAACAATGAGAACATTGACTGAATTAGAATAGCTGTTACTGTTCTGAATATCAGCCTCAAACAAAATTGGCCATTCTTACCTTTGTGACTAGGATTTTTATGTACCGCCTACGGTAGTGGGGCATAATCTTTTCTGGTCTGTGCTGCCGTCCGTCAGTCCGTCCGTCCGATACTAGGTTTATTCTGTTTGTTAAGATAGATTAAATTACAATGGAGTTGTGTTCATGTCAACTTGAAACTATACACATGTTCATTATGACATGTTCTTTTTTGAAATGTATGCAAAATTAGGAATTTGAACCATAATTTGCGATTCAATGAACATGAAAATTTGATATTTTAAGCGAGCGAGTCATACTGTCCTATGGATACTTAACACATGACATGAGTAAAATCTCTTTGTTCTTACTGTGCTATAATCTGGATAATGCACAGCAAAGGTGTGCATTTACTACCTCAGATATACTGCACAGTTCAAAAGTACTCTTACCTTTAGGGGCGGACCCTCGATTTTGAAAGGAGTGTAATTCCATATAAAATTTTAAAAATATCACCGAGTGTACATGTAGCGAATATAAAAAAGAAGGTGTGATATGATTGCCAATGAGGCAACTCTCCACAAGTGACCAAATGACATAGTAATTAACAACTATAGGTCACCGTACGGCCAGGCCTTCAACAATAAGCAAAGCCCATATCGCAAAGTCAGCTATAAAAGGCCCCGAAATGACGTACAAATGTAAAACAATTCAAACGAGAAAACTAACGGCCTAATTTATATACAAAAAAATGAACGAAAAACAAATATGTAACACTTCAACAATTGACAACCACTGAATTACAGGCTCCTGACTTGGGACAGGCACATTCATACAGAATGTGGCGGGGTTAAACATGTTAGCGGGATCCCAACCTCCCCCTAACCTGGGACAGTGGTGTAACAGTACAACATAAGAACGAACTATAAAAATCAGTTGAAAAAGGCTTAACTCGTCAGATGGATACAAATAACATACATCTAACAAAAACACAGAGTGGACGTGGCCGGGTACTTGTATATCCCAACAACAAAAAGACACTAATTAGTACTGATCTGAGAGTACTCGAAGTTACTGACAGCTAGTTCAAAGCCACTAACAAGTAATAAAAAAATCATGCATCTAAGACTAAATTATCAATCTGTACGCATCCAACATCCAATGGATTTAGTGTACAGACGTCATAAACAGTCAGAGGAAAAACACGACCTTGTGTAATGCCAAGATACAGGTATCGACAGATTGTAGATCCATGAATGTGTATATGAATTATATAACAATAATATTTAGTTTGCTTTTAATTTACTGACAAAAAAATTAATATTGATACCAATAAAACAATTTTCAATGATCTAATTACAGTGTTGAATTGGTAACCATTTAGAATAAGTTTATTTCACGGATCGACAAGTTTACCAGGATCAATCTAAATTTCCGGGCACGGTAAACAACATTTCCATAAAAATTAGGATGTGCTATCCCATTTGAACTTCAAAACCAAATCTTTATATCTATGGAAGAATTTAGTAAAGGTTTTAAGTAATTTGTGGTAACGAAATCCCTGGCTTAATAATTTACCAGTAATACATAGATTACGTTCGTTAAAATCAAAAACGTCACAACAGACACGGGCATAGCGAACGAGTTGTGAAATTCAAACACCATAAGATGGTGCCAATGGAACATCACCATCCAAAAAGGAAAAAATGACAGTCGGGAACGAAAAATCGTCCCTTTTGTCGTAAATTTCGGCAGTATATTTAGAAAATTCTTGATTTTTTAACGAAAAAATATCATCAAGATAAAGGTAAGTGTTGTTGAATTTATCAGTTAAATGCAATTTTGACGGGTCTTTACTTAGTGTGGTCATAAACTATGATTCATAACAGTACAAAACAAGTCTGCTTTTAAAGGGGCGCAATTAGTGGCCATTGGAATACCTACAACCTGTCGATAAACTTTGTTGCCAAAACGTACATAAATATTATCAAGGGGAAATTAACAGCTTCAATCATCTCATCCCACCTCCAGTAAGTATATCTAGCATATTTACCTTTCACATTAGA